ACTCACCACCTCTGTCAGAGTGCAGACGCAGGACAGGAAGATCCGTCCGGAAACGGCGGCGGAGCTGGAGACGAACTGTGCGGATCCAAGGGATCAGAACAGCAGGGACCTCACCCTTGGTGCGCAAGGGGAAGACCGTGGTGTAACGCAAGTAGTCGTCGACAACCAGCAAAAAGTACCGCTCACCGCCCTGACCACGAACGCGGGCTGGGCCCCACACGTCCAGGTGGAGGGTCTGCAGAGGAGCCTCTGTCGGGGGGAACGAGGAGGAGTGAGGAGCGGCGCGCTGCCGCCCCTCGACGCAAGGAAGGCAAGGCGGCGCAGGCGAGGCAGGGAGGGGAGGGAGGGACCTGGGAAGACCGGACACAAGGAGGCGACGGTGCATGCCACGAAGGCGTGGCAAGGAGGGGTGACCCAGGCGGTGGTGCCAGAGAAGAGTCTGGTGCGACAAGGAACGACACTCACAGGCGTGGGCCACCAGACCTGACGCAGACACCTGACCGACAGCAGCTACCTGGGGAGACGCAGTGGTCAGTGTGTAGAGACTCGACCCCGGCCGACGGGTGAACGTAGCCAGGTGACGGCCGGTCCTGGAGCACGTGCAGATCGCCACACGCTGTCCGCCAGGGGTAAAGGTGTCAACCCACTGATCCTGGAGGACAGCGTTGCTCACCAGGTTCGTCGAGAACGAGGGGAGGTGGAAACCCGACAACGAGCCAGACGGAACCGCCGGACAAGGGAGGACAGTGGTGGACTGGGCAAGGACTGGGCCCCCAGAGGGGTCAGCCAAGGAGACTGGGACCGGTGCAGGAAGCGGTGTGAGCTCAGTACTGTCACGGAAGAAGCAACGGGAAGCACCTGAGTCAAGGGTGAAGGTGTGACAGGCCTCAGCCGGTGCGGTACCTGAGAGAGGAGTCTCTGTGGGTGCTGTACCTGAGAGAGCAGACTCGAAACCAGCCGGGACAGCACTGGGGGGAGCAAGTACAGGGGGCACCATACCAGAGAGAGCAGACTCACTAGTACCCAGGGCAGCGGGCTCTATACCTGGGTCAGGCGGCACACACAAGTAACAGTCTCCCTCGGCACTAACAGTCAATGCATACATGGCAGCAATAATAGCATCATAGTCAAGAGCAAAGACATCAACACCAGCCCTCATGAGCTCAGCCCAGCGGGGGCGCTCAACATCCGCACCCATCTCCTCACGCCAAGCGTCGTCAAGGCGGGAGAAGCAGCGGTACGGGGTGTGGAACCTCCCACACGTCTGTCCCTTGCGGTCACCTGTGCGAATGACATAAGAACAGCGGGCACTGGCCCCCGACGTCCCACGCTGAGCAAGCCACTCACGAAGCTGCTGGGTCGTCTGGGGACGCTGCTGCTGCTGGGAGCTCTGGCCCGAGCCAGTGCCTCCACTCCGACCTCCGCCGCCACCACTACCACCGCTCCGACCGCCACCGCCACCACCGCCACCACCGCCACCGCCGCCACCGCCGCCGCCGCCACTACTGCCACTGCTTCCTCCGCCGCCCCCGCCTCCACCACCGACCCCACTCCCACCAGCGCTCCCGCCACCGCTCCCTCCAGCACCGCCTCCCCCCCCACCTCCCCCACCTCCTCCCCCCCCAGCGCCACCACCACCACTTTTGCCCCCCTTGCCCTTGCCGGTGCGGCGCCTCCCACCAGGAGTAGAAGCAGCGCCAACAGACTCAGCACCAAGGAAGTCAACAGTAGCAGCAGTAGCGTAGGAGGGAGCGAGGGGAGAGGGAGAACACCCCTCAAAGATGGGGGTGCGAGGAGCGCCACGAGCAGCACCAACAGCTACAATGCTCTTTTCGGCCGCGAGCAGGTGCTCCTCTAGGAGGGCGACTGTGAGCTCAGTGGGACAGCGAGCAAGGAAGTGGTCTCGAACTGAGCGGAGGGTGTCAGGGAGACGGGTGACTATGAAGTGGAGTGTCCAGTACAGTGGAGGGGGGTTCTTAGCGCAGAACTCGGTGGGAAGGGCGGCACGCAGGCGAGCATCACTAGTGCGAAGGTGGGTGATAAGATCGGCGACTGTAGTAAAGGTGGACAGATCGGGGAACAGGTACGGCAGCATGAGGCGGCTAAGCTCGGCTGTGGCAGGCGAGGAGTAGCGAGCGACGACAGCGTCGTACAGGGCCTTAGCGGATTTGCAGTCGCCAAAATGCTCGAGCTCAGCTAGCGGGAGGTGACTGCGAATGGCTAGGCGAGCAGCTGCGTCACGAGTCTGCCAGTGGGAACGGACACTAAGCTCGGCTGTGGCAGCAGGAGCAGCGGCAGCACCAGACGCGTAGTCATAGAGGGAGATGTGGTCCGTGCTATTGCTCATAAGATACAACTGCAGGTCGTCGAGCCAGGAAGTGAACTGCACGGGACGGCCCTCAGCATCGAAGGAAAGAACGCGAATAGAGGCCATAGCTCAGGCGTGAGGGCACAGCAGAGCAGCGGCAGCAGCAGAGGGGACAGGAGAAAGCGGCAGTGCACAGGTAGCGGGCGGCGCTACGAAGCAGGTAGCGGGCGAGCGGGCGGCGCTGCGAGCGGGCAGCGAAACGGGCGGGCCGCGAAGCGGGCAGCTAGCGGGCGGGCGGGCTGCGAAGTGGGCGGGCTGCGAAGCGGGCAGCGGGGCGAGCGGGCTGCGAGGCGGGCGGGCCGCGAAGCGGGCAGCGGGCGGGCGGGCGGGCTGCGAAGCGGGCAGCGGGGCGAGCGGGCTGCGAAGCGGGCGGGCCGCGAAGTGGGCAGCTAGCGGGCGGGCGGGCTGCGAAGTGGGCGGGCCGCGAAGCGGGCAGCGGGGCGAGCGGGCTGCGAGGCGGGCGGGCCGCGAAGCGGGCAGCGAGCGGGCGGGCGGGCTGCGAAGTGGGCGGGCCGCGAAGCGGGCAGCGAGCGAGCGGGCTGCGAAGCGGGCGGGCCGCGAAGCGGGCAGCGAGCGGGCGGGCGGGCTGCGTAGCGAGCGGGCCGCGAAGCGGGCAGCGAGCGGGCGGGCGGGCTGCGAGCGGGCGGCTCGGCGAGGGGCGCGCGAGGGCGCTAGTGAGGGGCGCGCGAGGGCGCTAGCAAAGGGGCGCGCGAGGGCGCTAACGAAGGGGCGCGCGAGGGCGCTAACGAGGGTGCGCGCGAGGGCGCTAACGAGGGGCGCGCGAGGGCGCTAACGAGGGCGCACGAGGGCGCTACGAGGCTAGGGCACGGGGTAGCGTGGTAACCGCATGCGAGCGGTGGTGGGCCCTTAAAAAAAAACGGTCGGTAGGTCCTAGGGACCTCCTGCTCTGAATACCATATCAAGATAACTAGGCAAGAATGATTGAACTAGCAGAAGTTTGGGTACAAATATGAAACCCTAGTTGGGGTTGTACCCCATATTGGCTACCCCACTACAGCCTACAAGCATAATACAGTTTAACAGTAATCGCCATAGGGGGAGGAAGCAGTGCAAGCTGTGCCTCAGTGCAAGCAGCGCGGTAACTAGCGTCGAGCGAGCGGAGGTGAGCGATCAAGTCAGCAGAGCGCTCAAACGAGGCGAGATCAGGAAACAGGAACGGGAGGAAAAGACGGCCAAGAGAGACAGTAGCGGGAGTAGAGTAGCGGGCCTTAATCGCAGTGAGGTACGCAGCAGCGGTGCGAACCTGAGTGAAGTGGACCTCCTCTGACTCAGGGAGGAGGCTGCTGAGTGCGATGCAGGCCGCAGCGTCACGCGACGTCCAAGCCGTCCTGTCAGCGCGCTGACGGGCAAAGCGAGCCGTAGCAGCATCGTCAGGGGCAGGACCTAAAGCGGCAGGCTCGGGGGGCTCGGGGAGGTCACCAGTAGCGTGCGACCAGAGGGTCTCGCCCCCCTGGACTTGACTCTCTAACAGACGGCGAGCGCGAAGAAGCCAGACGGAAAAGTCAAGAGGTCTACCGTCAGCGTCGAAACGAAGAACTCGCGGAGTCGCCATAGCGAGAACTAACGCGAACGAGCAGGCGAGTAACAGCAGGAGGTAAGAGGCAAATTAGGGTTCAGGTGGGGGGGGGGGGGGGGGGGGGGGGACTTAGTCGCAGCGGAAGAACGGGCTAGGGCGTAGGGTCGACGGGACGGAGGAAAGGGCGGGCGCGATGCGACGGGGCAGGGCGACGCGACGGGGCAGGGCGACGCGACGGAGCAGAGGCGACGGGACGGGGAAGGGCGACGCGACGGGGCAGGGCGACGCGACGGGGCAGGGCGACGGGACGGGGAAGGGCGACGCGACGGGGCAGGGCGACGCGACGGGGCAGGGCGACGGGACGGGGCAGGGCGACGTGACGGGGGGAAAGGGCGCGACGCGACGGGGGGAAAGGGCGCGACGCGACGGGGGGAAAGAGCGCGACGCGACGGGGGGAAAAGGGCGCGACTCGACTGGGGGGAAAGGGCGGGCAGGACGCGACGCTAGGAGTGGCGCTAGGCGCGGCACTACGCGCGGTAACAACGGAACCGGGACGAATGAGAGCTAGGATCAGGCTCGGGAGGCTCGAACGGAGAACGGAGGAACGGGATCCCACAGGATCCTAACCTAACTGATACCATGTTAGAATGAAGAATGGATGATGCATTGATGTTGGTTGGGGTACATATAGCTAACCCTAAGTTTTGTACCCCTTAAGACAAACCTCACTATAGGCTACAACATTTGACAAAGATTTACTGTTTCCAACACTCGTGCCTCGCTACTGAGTGCTTCCTCTGCTGCGGTTAGGAGTGTGCAATTCTCATTTCATTGTTCGTAACACAACAATACATGCGAACAACCCTGAGCAGATTCCTGGCTAAAGTCCTGTTTAGGATTGTAACACCATAGCTATTGCCCTACCTGCCAGCATTACCAGAGCAATAAACACTTATATTCTGACAGAGGTTAACCAGGGGCAATAGCCTGCTTGCTGCATCTTTCAGCTCCTAGCTGAAACTAGAACTTTGTGAAAGAATGGTCAACTCCTTGATCGAGCCTCCACCTGCAGATCCAGGGCACCTATCGCCGGCTCTAGCTGGATCTGCAATGGCTGATAAGCTTCACGCTGCCCTTCCTAGCTGCTCGTCCTACCTCCTTCTTACGAGTACATAGAGCATCTGCAGACGGCAATGTACAGTCAGCAACGGCTAAGGTAAGTGATAAATAAAAAAATACTATAATCCGTATACTATGCAACTTACCCGCCCGAGCTACCATATCCGGTACATCACTGTTGCCAGTAGCCCCAGTCGCGCCGTGCATAGTCTGTGTCAAACCTCCGCCGCTTCGATGCACTGCCAGCCCCCGCGCCATACCCTTCCGCCCCTCCATATCCGTACCCGTAGCCCTGGCCAGCGGCGCCTGAAGCACCTTGAGATCCGGCCCAGCTGCCTCCCTGCCCATAGCCAGACCCACCACCCGCAGAGCCACCGCCATAGCCACCCCCAACCCCCTGACCGTACCCAGCGGGCCATTGGGATCGGCCACCTGCACCATAGCCGGACCCGCCTGGAGATCCGGCGTAACCCGAGCTTCCGCCATAACCTCCGCCGTACCCTCCCTCGTAACCACCAGCGCTTCCGCCGTAGCCGCCCCACCCGTACCCTCCGCCATACCCGCCCCCGTTCATCCCAGCGCCGTACTGACCGCCGTAAGCCCCATAGCCGCCACCGTACCCACCATACCCGCGACCGCCGCCTCCATAACCGCCGGAGTACCGCGAATCGCCGCGAGAACCGTACCCGCCGCCGCCGCCGCCGTAACCCCCACCGCCGCCGTACCCGCCATATCCGTACCCTCCCCTTGCGCCATAGCCGCCGCGATATCCGCCGCGACCGCCGCCGGCGCTGTCCTTGGGAACGGCCCGCTTGACCTCGACCTTTTTCTCCTTGAGCTCGTGAAAAGTTTTCTCCAACACGCGCTCAACCGCTTCCTCCGAATCGAACGTGATAAAGCCGAAGCCGCGCGGCCGCTGCGTGTTGTGGTCGTACATCACGACGACGTCCGTGATCGTGCCGAACTGCTCGAAATACTGACGGAAATCGTCCTCCGTGACGGTAGACGCGAGCCCGCCGACAAAGATCTTCTTTGTCGACTGGGAAGGCTGAGACTGGGAAGGCTGCTCACCGTCACCACCGTCGCCTCCTCCTGCTGCTTGTTCTCCTGACGTGTTGCCTTGAGATGCATCAGGCTGTTTAGGCGGATTCTGCTCGTCTCGCGGAACAGCTTTTTTAGCTTCCACCTAAGAACCAAAGACGAAGGACATAGAAAAGTCACCAGCTTAAGTCTTACGGCTAATCGGCACTAAAAAAGCTGCTGAAATAGCTGCATTGAGCAATCATAGGGAGGCAGATTAATCAAAGTCGCCACGGCAAGTACTGATAGCGAACTACCGAAAATGCGAGAGCAATTCTGCCGAATCTAAGGCGGACCTGTCTGCCATCGATAGTATGCTTCTCGTTAAGCACGCGATCCGCCACTTCAGGGTCGGTAAATACGACGAAACCAAAACCGCGAGATTTGCCCGTCATCCGATCCTTCATGATCACCGCCTCTTTAACCTCTCCGTACGTCTGGAAGTACTCGTTCAGCCTATCCTCCGTCGTGTCCCATGAGATACCTCCAATAAAAAGCTTTCCTGGGTCTGAGTCCATGCCTGGCAAACGGAGGGATGGAGGAAACCCTAACACCCCTCCAGAAGCGGTAGAGCAAGACTCCTAAAACTAGGAGGATTGCGTTGCGATTCCACCTACGAAGCAGGGTTGTGTTGTGAGATTCAGAAATAATACCAACCCGGAGAGGCGGGGAGCCAAGAGCGGGGGTAGGAGGTTCGAGAAGGATGAGGGTTACCGCACCAGTCGGAGCCTTTAGGCTTGGATGGTACAGGCTCGGCACGAATGCATACCAGACCTACAAAACCTCTAGCCCGCGAACCGTGCTTACCAAATGATGGCGTGACAAAGGTAGTGTTCTCTAGGCACTGGCGGAGAGGGGGCGAGTGGAAATAGGTTAACCCGCGTCTCATATTTCGGACGCCAAACCAACTGTAATACGTTCGAAACCCTGTAACCACACAAAGATTCGCCAATTGGTTTGGACGAGAAGAACACACCAGAACTAGCGTCAAACACAACCAAAGCAGGCTCGGGTGCAGGCCAGTGAATGACCAACTGCCTCGGCATCCCCTCAAACCGAACAATTTGCGAGACTGACGCTTGCGACGGAAACTCCCTGGGAAACAAGGTTTGGGCGACAACTTGGTCGTCGGCGAAGCCCCCCGAAGGACAGCCACTGTAATACTGCCGAGCAACTGGAAATATGAGACTGAAATCCTCTCGACTTCTACTCAGGGGCAACCTAGGCCCGGCCACCACCACGAGCAAAACTTCGACTTCGCATACACGCACGGACGGGGCTCACATTTCGTACTGGCATCGCGCCCTCGTTTAGTAGTGACCAACAGCGCCCCTGCAGATTAGGTAAGCACGTCGTGTGATGGGCGGGAATACGAGATTCTAGGGTTACGATTTCGCCTACGACTCTCCGCCTACCACAACGTCACAAAAAATGGGACGCCCAAAAGCTGTCAACAATTGGTGCATCCAGCAGGCATGCGCAGCCGGGCATGGCCTAGAAAGCTGTTAGCACACACTAAACAATCATTTCGAGCCAGAAATGCAACCCCTTTCACAGAGAGTTTTGCTCAATCCCGCGGAATCGCGGTTCGTTTTATTATCGCCACGTGGCATGCCTTCGATCGCGTGAACCGCGATCTCTTTTATTGTTATCACAAACTTCAACAGAAAATTAGTTAAGTTCTATACTGCGCTGCCCGCGGGCAAAAATAAAACCCATTTTGGCCTGGCATGCGTTAGGGAGGCATCAACCCTAAACACCTTGCCTCTAGGTGTTTAGGGTTGATGCATCCCTAACGCATGCCTTACATATAGGGGTTTTATTTTTGCGTGCGGGCAGCGCATTACAGAACTTAACTAAATTTCTCTTGAAGTCTGTGATAACAATAAAACAGATCGCGGTTCACGCGATCATAGGCTCGCCACGTGGCAAAAATAAATCTAACCGCGCTTCCGCGGGATTGAGCAAAATTCTCCCTTTCACATTGTGTTCCCTGGAGGGGTGTGTGTTTGAGCGCATCTAGAAGAGTACAAAATCTTCCACTATTGTTGTTACAACATGGAGTTTTTCCACTCAGGTTCAAAACAGAATACGAAATCGTGTCCACGTTGACAAAAAAAAATGGGGCTATAACAATCGTGATTACAGCGATAGAAGTTTGGATAAGGCATTGCTGACGCGGCGACAACATCCAACGACGCAGTGTGTGGTGTGAAAATTAGATATGTACAGCTCGGATGTCATGCGCCTGTAGCTGACGATTCGCCTAGGGTTACCCATAATCTCGTCGTCAGCCAGTAATCGCCTACCAGGGTCCCTCGAGGGCCAATCGGTTGATTCACACCCTACCAAGCCAGCAGTGAATCGTTTTTCTTGCGACAGTTCGGCCATTCGCCAATCTGCCACCCAAAATGACGTCACTGTACCGGTTCTTCATCCCGTTCTCGCAGGCAGGCAGTTCAAAGCTCTGCCCAGTTCATTTGGGTCATTTCGACTGAGGAGGTTCTTTTTTCCATTTCCCAACTCGCAGTGTCTGTGTTGCCAGAGCAGTTGCACATTTTCCGTTTCTGCCTGCGCTACAAGTTACTGAGGTCAATGTCTAATATTTTTTCGTTGTCTTCTGTCCTCCCTCCACCAGGTCATCAAGGTAGCTGTGTGTCTCGGTATCAAGGACCTTGGGCTGCATGCGTCACTGGCGTTACAGTCAGACGCGTTTAGTCGCTGCGCAAATCGCGTTGATATGAGGTGAGATTTTTCACGCCAACGACGCACTCTGTATCATGCAAGTTGTCTGTGCCTACTATATTTCCAAGATACATAAGTCCTGTGCAGGGTGAAGAAGCAATCTACGATCCCCCTATCGTTTCGTCTCTGGTTCCGAAGCTATATACATCCCGCTTTATCGTCCACATCGACGTCAAACAAGTTTTGTAAGCTTGCTTTTGGTGCTCGATGCTCTTTGCTGACTAACTGTAGTTCTGTGCTGTCTGGCTCAGCTGTGTTTGTTGGCAGCATCTTGCAGGTATGTAGTGTCGTTGGTTGTGAAGTTACCTTGGTATAAGATAATTCTGATTGACTCTGGCCTGTGCGTTAGGTGTCTCATGAGTGCTGGCAGCATGTTGCAGGTTTCTAGCGTCCAATTTACAGTTAGGATTTTGAAGAGCTTAACTATTGCATGGTGTAGTTTTGTCTAGTGTGATGTTTCACGATGCATATTTAGGGATCTAAATGATGTGAAATCTCATGCCTTTAACGTGTAATAAATCTCCAGATTCTTGTGGCATCAAATGCGTTAACATAACATACGGTTTTTAGGTTCCGTGGCGCAAACAGCATGAATTTATTATTAACGGTTCAAAAAAAAATTGGCTGCGTGTACTGTAGTAACCGTTTTGGTTCGTTACAACAGCCACTTATAGTTTGCTTTCTAACTGCTGTACAGAGTTTGCGCACTGCTTGGCGTATGCTGATACACTCCTTGCCGAGCCTGACAAAGATTGCCAAAACAAACCATGCAACGAATCCTCCAATACTTCTTGGCTGTTGAGCATTCCGCAAGATAGACCCTAAACATTGGTGCCTCGGACAATCTTCCAACAGTGTTTCAGTAATGCATGCGGAATGATTTCTCGCCATTTTTTTTGTGACGAATGCGTACACACGGAGCCGCCAATCCGACTGATGCGTGACGTCCGAGACTAGAGGGAACGCGATGATCTGCTCGCCTCATGCGAGGGTTGACGTCGTAGCGCGGGACAGCAATGAAGATTGCGCTATGGACAATGCGGTAGGTGGGAGCCATCATTTCGAACGGTGCATACATCACGCAGAGCGTGAGTGAAGCGTGCACAGTGATGAATGCAGGGGATAGATGGTGTCGAGTGAAGGATCTCCCCCCATGCGCGCCCTCCCCTTCCCCCTTCACTATCCACCCCCCTGCTTGCCGCATTCCCTCCCCTTCCCCCTCGCTATCGTGCCTGTCCCCTCTCCATCAGGCAAGCCCTCCCCTTCCCCTTCGAAAGCACTCCCCTTCCCCGTCGCCATCTCTCCCTTCCCCCCTCGATAGCTCGCCCTTTCCCCACCGCTAGCACACCCCTTCCCACGTCACTATCACTCCCCCTCCTCGTAGCATTCTCTCCCCTTCCCCGTCGCTAGCGTGCCCCCCCCCCCCCCCCCCCCCACGCACGCCCTCTCCTTCCCCTTCGCAAGCACGCCCTTCCCCGTCGCCATCTCTCACTTTCCCCTCGTTAGCTCCCCTTTCCCCTCTGCTAGCACTCCCCTTCCCCCGTCACTATCCACACCCCTGCTCGGCGCATTCCCTCCCCTTCCCCCTCGTGACCGTGCCTGTCCCCTTCCCCCATGCACGCCCTGCCCGTCCCCTTTGTAGGTGCACCCCATTGCTCCATATGCCATCTCTCCCTTTCCCCCTCGATAGCTCCCCCTTTCCCCACTGCTAGCACTCCCCTTCCCCCGTCACTATCACTCTTCCTCCACAATGCAATCCCTCCACTTCCTCCTCGCTACCGCGCCTGTCACCTCCCCCCACGCACGCCCTCTCCGTCCCCTTTGCAGTCACTCCCTTTCCCCCTGACGACCATTCCCCTTCCCCATCACCGCCCCCATCACCTCCATCGTTGTGGCGTTCTCCCGATCGCCGCCACCGTCACCTCCATCGTTGTGGCGTTCTCCCCATCGCCGCCACCGTCACCTCCATCGTTGTGGCGTTCCTTCCCCGTCCCCCCTGCTAGCGTGCCCGTCCCCCCCCCCACGCACGCCCTCTCCTTCCCCTTCGCAAGCACGCCCCTTGCCCGTCACCATCTCTCCCTTTCCCCCTCGACAGCTTCCCCTTTCCCCACCGCTAGCACTCCCCTTCCCCCGTCACTATCCACCCCCCTACTCGGCGCAATCCCTCCCCTTCCACCTCGCTACCGTGCTTGTCCCCTCCCCATTTGGCACGCCCTCTCCTTCCCCTTCGCAAGCGTAACCAATTAGGGGTATCCATTTTATAGATGAGCACGTGCGAGCCTCCTTCTAGGGGAGCTGGCAGAACACGCCTGCACGGGGGTGGGTTCGATCCCAGGACCTCATCTATCGGAAGTGCCTCTTTCTACTGACTAGGCCACTTCTGAAAATAGGAATCTTCCCCTCTCTGCGTTTTTTGGTTCGACTCGACGGTCAGCCCATAAAACCTTGCCGAGCCATCTACTTGCCCTCCGAACCAAAACCAAGGTAAATGCCAACAGAACGCTCATTTACGCTCAGGGATGTGCACCCCTTGGAAGCTGCACATTTACCCTCCCCACCTTCCTCCCCAGGCAAATTTTGCCTCCCTCTCTTTGCCTTCCGGCAACCACTCTTCACGGGGAAGTGCGACGGCCAGAGGAGAGAGGAGCTGGGGGAGGGAACACCGAAATTCTACCCGTGAAACTTGAGACTGCTGGACTTCCTAGCCCAAACACACACGCAAGAATCAGGAAAAAAATAAAAACCTGGCCTTTTCTGTGCACGAAGTGCAAAC